AAATGACTGCCACCTTCTCTTCTTGTCCTTCCACTTCTTCCTTGCCCTCCAAGTAGAAATGTGACTTCAAGGGTAACTAGAAGTCTGGTTATTCCTTTGCCAACAGCTCTTCTGTTTCCTGCAGTTCTCACTCACCAACACCCATCACCATCATCACCAACTCAACCTTTCATCTCGTCCAAGTTGCTTTTCGTTGCCCTTGGTTACTTTTACTCACCCTATCCCTGCACCCCTTTTGTATCAAGCACAAAGAACCCCGATTCTTCTTAGCAGTCATTGTCCCTTCGTGTTAAAACACTACTTAGATTTAGCTCTGGTTTTGTTTTGCTTTATTTTCCTCTTTTCTGTGCTTTCTGGTTATTGGAATTTTTGTTGGTTAAAAAGATTGAAAATATATTTTATTGTATACAGTAAATATTAATCATACTTCACATACATGTGCACATAATAAATATTACATAAGATATATTACTCATACAAACGCACATAAACACCCTACCCCTTTGGAAATGAGGTAGGTGAGGTAGGTGATAAACTAGAATTATCACAAAATTTGGATCATAATAATAATTAAAATATTGATCACTTGATCACCACCACAGAGGAAACAGTAAGAAATCACCATGAGACTTCTCACAATGAACTCCATGTGGGTTAGAGTAATGTGTACATAAAATCTTAATGCTACCTCACTTTGTGCCCATGAGAAGTGCCATTTCTTACGTGCCTGAGATAACGGATGGAGGCAGATGGCAGGGCTAGATCCATAAGGAGGCTGCCTAGCTCCAGAACCATATTCTGCAGCCAGGGTCAAAGCTTTAACATCTTTACACTATCCCACTGAGTCTGAAAGTGTGGGGAGAGGTGATGGGCACCTGTTCTCTTCAAGTCTGACAGCAGGGTGCTTAGAGGAAGCATGGACCACACCTCAGCTTGCTTGAGTCATCTGAACTACCAAAGTGTTTTTCCTGGTAACAATGACATCCTAGCAGCTAACTCAGGACCCACCCTATATTTTAAAGATTGAAAAGTTCCTCCTGAAGGAGAAAACTAGAAAAAATGCCTGAGATTGCTAAACTACATTCTGACCCATCTTCTAGCTGGCAGATACATTTTTCTTCCATTTGGGAATTAAACCTGAGGTCTTGCACACACTGAGCAAGCATCCGGTCTATACCCCAGCCCAAGAAGAAATTAAGCAAAGGAGCAATGTTATTCATTATAAATTAATACAATTTGAAGAACTTTGGAAGTTATTTTATAGATGGTTAAAAAAAAAAAAAATACTGTAAGATGTGTACCAGGATTGGCGAGAAGACTCGGTGGCTGAGAGCGATCCCTGTTCTCGTACGTGACCTGAGTTTGGTTCCTGCACCCATGTTTGGAAGTTCCAGGGTTCCTGTTGCCTTCTTCTGGACTCCATGGGTACCCCCCCATACACAAACATATGTACATACCCTCACACAGACATACCCCCTCTCACACACACATATGTGCATACCTCCTTGCATAGACATAAGTGCATAACCTCACATAGGCATTGCCCCCCCAACATATGTACATATCATCACACAGCCATAACTCCCCCATGTACATACCCTCACACAGACATTACCTCCACACACATATGTAAATACCCTCACAGAGACATTACCCCCTGACACACACACATACTTACATACCTTCACATAGGCATTACCCCCCCAACACACATAAGTATGTGCCCTCACCCAGACATTACCCCCCACATACATATGTACATATCCTCACATAGACATTGTCACCCACACACATATATACCCTCACACAGACATTACCACCCCCACACACCCACACCCCCACACCCCCCCACACACACCCTTACACAGACATTACCCACTCACACACATATGTACATACCCTCACGCAGACATTACCACCCCCTACATACAGACATACCCTCACACAGACATACACCTAGACACATAAATAATTTTTTAAACTTAAAAAATGTATTGAGAAGATACTTAGGCTTGTTCTGGTGGCACATGCCTGTAAACCCAGCACTTGGCAACCTGAGGCAGGAAGATTAGGAATTCTTGACTAGCCTGACTACATGACAAGTCTGAGGCTAGCCTGGGCTACATGGTAAGGCTGTATGTCAAAATACAATCAAAAAAGAAAGAAAGAAACCAGAAAAGATGCTTCTGAGTCAACAGACTCCACCATTAGAAACTCACTGAGGAGTGGCAGGTGTCACATGGCATCTGAACATGGTTGAGATGGCTCAGTGGTTAGGGTGTTTGCTACACAAGCATACAGACCTGTTAAGATCCCTGACACATGTGTAAAACCAGCCAGACATGGAATAATCCCAATACTCATGACGATAGGGACAGGCAGATCCCTGGAGCTTAAACATGCATGTAAACATACTAAGTTTCATGTCTAAACATGTATGGTTTCTCATTCCTAAGATCAATCTCTCCATATATTTGTGTGTGTATATATGTATGTGTGTGAAAATGCTCTAAAACCCAAAACCATCTGACAGTACAAATATTTCTTTCCTCATGCATGCCGGTTTAAAAAAAAAAATGTTCAATCTCTATTTCTCAAAGGATCTAGGTCCAAGGCCAGATCCTAATCCTTACCCTAATCCTTTATAGGTTGACAATGAAGCAAAACACAGTGAACAACATATGACTAAAAGAGTGAAATATAAAAGAATGTAAACACTCATTTTAGAACCATTTGTCTTGGGCTGAAAAGATGGCTCAGCAGTTGAGAGCACTTGTTACAATGCCAGAGGACCCAGGCACCCACATGGTGACTCACAATTGTCTAGAACTACAGTTCTCGGGGACCTCACACTTTTTGCTGACCCCATGGGCACTGGGCATGTGTGTAGTGCAGGCAAAACACCCACACACATACAATAAAATATTTTTTTAAGAATCATTTGTCTTAAAACAAAATTTGCTAGAGGCTCACATTGGCTTTCTTTTTGTCTCGGAGGGCATTCCGTTTGTCTCCTGTCTTTTGACAATGCTTCTGCTCCACCAGGCTCAGATGCCTGGTGGGCAGTGGAAGCCTCATAGTACCTGTTTATTTCCCTCACAGTCTGGAGGCATCTACAGTGGCTTCACGGATTTGGTTGTCTCTCTCTTTAACAAGATCCTGAGAGCAACTAGAGCTTTGCTGCATGATGTCTTCCATTGCCCCAGGTCTGTGAAATTCATCAATGAAGTGTCTCCATCACCTCTTGGTTCTCCTGTCCCTACTCAATTGAAATTCAGTATGTGTACAACCTGTTCCAAGACAGCTTAAAAGTTTTGGAATCTAGCGTATAAGTAGCTTCCTTCTACCAATAAATCCTGTCTGCTATAAGACTGTTTTATTCTGTAGCCATTAAACATATCAAAACTTTACAATTCAAGCCTTTTTTTTATACCAAATGCAAAAACAAATGTGAAAAATTAGTGGATCTCGACCAATAGAATTTTAACTTGACATACGGTAAAAACTAAATAAAAAAGTCATAAATTAAAAATATGCTTATGAAATAGTATACAAAAGTTAAGAACCTGAATATAACAAATCACTGAATAAAGATGAATAATATCAGTGAGTAGAAGAAAACAGTCTTATCTCCTTAGTTTTAAAAAACACATATAAAAAAATCAAAGTTAATATCAAACACCAACATGTGCTCTTCCCTATAATACATCCTTATACATATAAATACATAAGAAATTCTTAGAAAGTATGAAAGAATTTGCCTAGAAATCCCACACTTTCACTTTTCAGGAGAAATAATTAAAAATACAAATAAGATATGCATAACATTGTTATAAATGTCCAATAACAAACAGGGAGTAGCTAAATACAGTACCCCTGAATACCACACAGCCACTACAATGATGTTTTAGAAAATAACTTACTGGTGTAAAAAGATGTTTAAAATATATTTCTTACTTAAAATAGGCACATGACCAAACAATATTATGCAACATAATTGCCTGTGGTGCATGTACACAGAAAAGAATGGTAAGAATTGTATGGACTACATGATTAAAATTATCTTTGTGCTTCTCCATATTTTCTAAATTATCCTCAACAGATAACAGAATAACCACATAATAATGATAAAAAGTGAAAATCATAAAAAGAGTTCCTTCAGACGAGAAGCAGGACTGAGGAGTCAATGTAACTGTTTTGGCATTTAGAAAACCAAAAATAGTTTGTGAAGTTGATGTTTGGTTAAAAAAAAGTCTCATAAAAATATTTAATTATGTGAAACATATTCTCCAGAACTTTACAGATGCATTTGCCTGGTAAAAATCTGCTAATTACAAGTGGCACTGCATAGTCTGGAAAAGGCTCTGATGCCTCCAACTCTGAGCTGTGAATTTCACCTATGTTGTGTTTTGTCTGCAGTTTCCAACAGAGACCTACTGGTCCTTGGAAGCATTATCTTGGGGCTCCATGGGGCAGCTACAATGGGCTCTGTGTAAATTTGATTTGGTCTTTGGTAGATCATTGAGACAATACACATCACATACTCTACTTGCAGAGCAGAGTGCACTGTCCCCCAACACCACCCATCACCAAAATGAAGAAACCGAACATCCCTTTTAGGAAAGTTGGTTGGTTACACTATATCCAGGCATTCTGCACACCACACCACAGCCTCTTATGTGGCTGACTTCGCTTACTCTTCATTCTCTTTTTCTAAGTGGTAACATACAACAAAAGCAGAAACTTTGGCATTAAAAATAAAACTAGAACATTTGAAATAACACCCTTATAGATCATTTCATCTAATTCCTTCACATAAATAGGGAAATCCTGATCCAGAGGGCAGCAGGTGAAGGATCTTAGATCTAATGTGTTGTTGTCCTGCCTCTGGGCCCAGTTCACTTCCCTCATCAACTTGCAGCTAAGAGAATATTACATTTGCTTTAGAAGTGAACAGCCAACAGTTGAAGGAAAGCAGCAAAGAGAGGCTGTATACAGACCTTGCATCTGGTAGCTGTATGGTGCCTGTCCAGGTTGAGGGGTACCAAAGCTGGTGCCATAGCTGAGAAATCCCGTCTGTCCAGGTGACTGAGACTGTGACAATCCACCTTCCGTCTTGATGCCTGCCCACAATGCACCTAAATCAGTTAGTGAGAGCTGATCTACCTGTTCATTCTCAGAAGCTGGTAAATATAGACAAGCACACACTCCCACAGCTGCCCAGTCACAAATGCTCCCCAACTCATCTGCAGGAAGACAGGGTGTGGATGCTTACAGTTGAATGCTATAAACCACAAGTTCAATTTTTCTTCTAAAAAGTATAAAGTTGAACATTTATTCACATGATTCTCTCTGATTTTCCTGCATTCAACTTTCTAGAAAGTAGAACTCTAGAGGTATATCATTTCCATAATTCATTTTGTTATTTGACTAGAGTAGGTCATTCTGTCAGTCAGAAACAACCCTAATAAAAGACTAACACACTGTTCCCAAGTCTCTAAGTCTCTTTTGCCCTGAGACCTGACTACTCAGAGTCTCTAGGATTTCCATCTTTTCCCCCCAACTTTAAGGCTAATGCACAGGACATTTTGAAGTTAAAGGAAGTAACACAGGATACAAACAATGGGGAACCTTCTCCCGAGGATCTAGATCTTTCTGGAAAGGCAGAATTAAGGAAGCAGAATGTCAAAGAATTGGACTTCTAAAACAGCAGAGTGATCTATACACGTGGGGAAGTGGCCAGTGGCATCCCATTTATCATTACTAGTTTTCAAATATTCAAGTGTGATTCTTCTACATGCAGGCTAAAGTACATTTGAAATTATATTATCTGTAAACACAAGCTGATGTCTTATAGGATTACAGAAAGATTATTTGTAGTCCTCAAATACTTCTCAAAGCACCAGGCTGGTTCACTAATTCCAGACTGGGACTTGGCAACACTGAGGTAGGCCTCTGCACTTAATTGTAATTAAAGGCAGTCGTAAAAATGAACAACTGACCTTCATCCCCACAGAGGGAAGACAGAAACATTCTTGCCAAGAGAATTCACATTTTTCAATAATCTTGGTTTTCACTGAAGATAAATTATATCTTTTAAGATCTAGGATACACAGTAGTCTTGCTGTTTATTTCCATTTTAGGGGAATTTCATGGGTAGAATGAAGTTAGGTAATTATCCCAAGGCAGTGGAAGAATCTGATTTGGCTGAGAAAGCCCACATTAATTTCTTGAGTATTTCTGAGTACTTCACAATGACCTTAACATTGAAAACTTAGTACAGTCTTAACATGTCAAAACAAATATGATGTGCTATGTACAGGTAATTTCGCCAGTGAACAGCTCAAACCTGGAAATTATCCCTAGAAACACACGTGCCCTAGACAGGTGGCTGGACAGTTCCAGAAACTCCCTTTATTCCCATGTGTCATCAGTAGGGACTTTCCCCCTTCTCTCTCCACTCAAGGGCATCGTGACCCTCCCCCCAGCCCTCACTGGACCACGTTAGAGGCTCAGCATGGGGAACTGCTATGGTGAAAACAGATCTGGGGAAGCAAGAAGAGGTGGAAAACATTGAGAGCCACACCTTCCTCCGAAACCTCTACCCACAGGCAGAGAACTCATTTTCCTAGAAACCTGTGAGCAGATGAGTGATGGGTCTAATCTAAGCCGTAACCAATTCTTGATTTTTTTGTCCTCTCTGCTATTCTGACTATGAAAATCTATGCCCATTTTTTTCTTTTTCCCCCTATTTTCACAGTTCTATGTAGAAATCTTGGGGCCACAGGCCCTTAAAGAAAGTGTCATTTAATTCTGATGGTTTTGAAATAAAACTACAGTACCTGGAGTTAAATGTAAGTTAGACCTTATTTCTATAAATAAACTAATAGGGAGCTAAATTTCTGAGGTCCAGAGGCAGCAGTAAATGGAAGAAAGTTGTCTAGCTTCTCTGAGGGGTGAAAAACTTCAACAGAATCGCAGTTCTTCCAGTGTTTGGTGGGAAGTATTCAACCAACACTGTTAATGTAACAGCTGCCAGGACGATCTCACCTACAGAAGGACCTAGTCTAGTCTTTTCCTACAAACACTCACATGCTTTTTTCTTGATCATTCTGTGGTTTTTTTTCCCCCTTAGTAAAATGCCCAGTTTAGTAGTCTTCTATTCCCATTTAATTGGTTGAAAAACTGCAATTACAACTCAATTGAAGAAAAGGTAGTTTGAGATTTGTAGTCTTCTGTAAATAGAACTTTGGGATTTGGCTGGATTTCTTTTTAATTTACAGGTATTGACCCCATCACAATTGAGTTAAGTTACACCAAGATAAAGATAATCTCCAGGTGGGAAGGAACAAATAGCATGCGAGCTTTGAATGCTTCCTGATCCGCGTCTTCAAAGTGCGGTCCGGGAGGCGATATATAGATCACTTTTCCTAATGGGTGATAAAGCTGAAATTCGATCATGGAACCACCCCTAGGTTTAGGGCAAGAGTTTGCTGAATTCTGCATGTACTTCCCTAATCATAGCTAGGCATCTGATAAACAGGAAATGGATCTTTACCCCAAAAGCCTTCATTCATAGAAGTTTTATCACAAATATGCACAAAAATACTTTGGATTCCAGAGTCAAGTGCTCTGATGCCAAATTCAGATATAAGCAGGGAGAAAGGAGAGCAAGGGGCCTAAGACCCAGGCAATCTGTTCATCACCTCTGACCTCAAGGTAAGAGTTCACTGTCCTTACAAAGCTCACTAGCAAGAATTATACAGAATTGCAAGCAAGAGGCGAACAACAATTTTGGAAGTGGACCAACAGCAACACTCTTGAAGTACTACTCAAACCCACAACACAGGCCCACCAGAATACACCGTAAGAATAATGGTCCAATGACTCACCATAGGAGGAAATTCCATAGGGCTGTCCCGGCTGTGGGTACGTGGCGTAGGCTGTGGCTTGTTGCATTCCTGTGGTAAACTGTGTTTGCCCATATGCAGCCATAGTTTGTGAGGAAGGGGTAGGGAGAATATGTGGGTATGGTCTGCTAGTTGTCAGGAATGACAGAAAATAGAAAGCCCATGCATTAGATGGAAACATGCAAGGTCAAAATGAACAACTACAACACAAATTCCAGCTAAAGAGTCTATCTTATAGTCAAACTTGCCACTAGCATTGACAAAGCACTTCAGAGTACGTCAGTGCTACCAGGTGGTGATTAAAATAAATTTGCATATATTGTATTTCATTAAGCTTCTACAAAAATTACTTTTTGCTTAAATTAAGACGTAATATGGGCACAGACATGACTTGGAACAAGGTAAAGTCTACTTAGAAAAGTCATGTATTGATTAAGAGAAAATATATCTTACTTGGAAGGATAAATCTGTGGTGGAGAGAATGGGTGAGCTGGTCTTGGACTAAAGCTGCTGCTCCCGAGAGCTGAGGAAAAAGAAAACACAGTGATGCTAGGAACCCAAGGAGAATACTGAACATGAGAAAAACACTGGCCTGTCACAAACTACACCAACACCATAGGAGACGTCAGGTATTTGACCTCTGTGATCTATAGACGTAGTGATTTTATATGGTCTCCCTAATAGGAAGTCAAAGAGGGCTGGAGAGGTGGTTCACCAGATAAGAGCACTGACTGCTCTTCCAGAGGACCTGGGTTTGATCTCTTGCACCCACCCACCTATTGGCTAACAATCACCTGTAACCTCAGTTTCTAGGGGAGCTGATGCCTCATTATGACCTCCTCAGGCAATGTACACACGTGGTGTACAGACATGTGCAGGCAACACACCCACACACATAAAATAAAATAAACCTTTAAAAAACAGGGAATGTATAGGCACTGATTGAGTGGTTCTAATTTTAAATAGACTCTTAAAAAAACATAGACACAGCCATAAATACTTATAAATGCAGCCTTAAATACTTGTCGAAAAGCTTTGATGGTGAGGAGTGCTGTCCTCCTTGGGAAAGCCAGGCTGAAACAGAGGTATGAAGCTGAACGGTCCTCTGGCCCATTGTCTATATACATCAGGAACCCGAACTAAAAAGGAACACGGCCTAATCTCTCCTGTGAGGGAAATGGGAACGATTCACGTTTGCCTGTGTCGCTTTAACAATGTTGTTTAGTGAAACTGCATTCCTACAACGATCTTTAATGTCTCAGGTTGCAAACCGAGCCTGTTTGTTCTTGGGCTGCTGTGTGTTCTTGCTCTCTTAGATGTATGTACTCAACTGGGATGCTCAAGCAAATGATGTTTTGTTTTGTTTTCTTTCTTTAAAGAAGCAGTTTAGCAATCAAGCGAAACTTAATTTCTTTTAATCAGATTTTCTTGACTCTGGATGTTTCAGAAATCCACCAGGCTTCTATCAAATGCTCTTTGACTCTCATTCAAATTTAAAAAAGCAAAAACCCATTTTCAATAGTATAACGGTTTAAAACGTTGGCTTCTGTTAAAAGTAGGACAATTTACTTATAAATAACATTATATATATTTATTTGTGAATACATATTTTCCCTCAAACTTCCCAATCTTCCCCTGGCTACAATGCATGGTGTTTGGGTGCACTTATTATGGAATGTAACATGGTTATTTTCTTCCTCCGTTAATCCTCAGTATTTTCAGAGGCTCTGTTACATATTAGCCGTATTTCTCTCTCACTCTTAGGCAAAGTCCCACACACTCAGAGAGCCATGTGTTTTCTCATTTGCCGAGGAACGCATTTATACTTGTCACACTTCATTTCCCAGTGGGTACTTGGGAGAAGAGTGAGAGAAGAAGAGAGCTTAGACTCTCAGAAGAGAGGGGCTGTCTTTCTCCATTCAAACCAATGAGAGCTAATCCAGGGACTGCAAAGAGATCTGGGGCCATTCCAGCCTTTCACACTGCCAGATTTCCACCACTGGTGTCGCCTTAGGAGGGAGAGAATCCACAGGAAAGAGATGGCAGGACAACCCGGTTCATGTTCCCCTAGCTTTGGGCACTTACTGCATATCTGCTTGGACCCAAGGCCCTTGCCTGATGCCGCAGGAACAATCACGGAAAGACAAGCCCTATCCTCCCTGCAGGGAGATTTGTTAAATGCTTCAGTTTCCAGAAGGGAAGTATTGCTGAGAACACACTTAGATTATGAGGGCTGCCTGACAGTTGTCCAGGCCACCTGTGGGGACAAGCCCTTCCACTCCCCTTCTCTAAGCATAAAAAGAGGCCTAGGACGAAGTAGACAATATCTGCAGAAAGAATTATCTCCTCTGGACGATCGCAATTAAAAACAACTGTTTGTAAAGCAAATGACACCTGGTGACAGAAGCCACGAGACACCCCCCCGCCCCCCTTCATTCTTTTCTAGCTGTAGATCTGTTTTTCAATTCCTGGGTCACAAGTCTTGAAAAGATGATGATCTCAGTAAGTTGCACCCACCCATGTTTTTACAAAGAAAACAACGGGGGATTCTAGGATTGTCTATCACACTGTAAGTCAGGGAAACGTGTGTTCAAAGTATATGCAGTGTATGTGTGTCGACGTAGGAAAGTGATGAGAACTGGGGGCTCCGGGATGTGGAAAGTCAAGTCATGTGGTCTCGAGTCAGTCACTCTCAGCTTCCACATGGTGACTGCAGCAATGCTTGCTTCTAGGCCTCCTATGAGCCCTGTGAGGACTAAGATAATTCACATGAAGTGGTTCCTATCGTGTTCTATAAATAAATGATTTTCTCTGATTCTCACCAAGTTTGTCCCTAACCTTGCCCTTCTCTCTGTATTTATGTGTGTACACATGTGTGCATGTTCATGTGTATACAGGTGCATGTATGTGTTCAGGTGTGTGTGTGGAGGCAAAGGCTAGAGGTTAACCTTGAACATCCCTTCTCAGGCGCTGACCACCTTATTTTGTGAGACAGGGTCTCTGATTTGCTTGGAACTCACTGATTAGATTAGGCAGGCTGGCTGGCGCGTCCCAGGGGTCAACTTAACTCCATCTCTCCAAGATTAAGATTACAAGCACACAGATTTTTTTACATGGATTGTAGGATCAAACACACCTCTTCATTCTTGTACACAGTACAAAATGAGCTCTCTCCCAGCTTCTGTTTTATTCATTTGTTTGTTTGTTTTTCAATTCTACTCAATAAGCAACATCGCCTGCCATCTATGCAGGAAAATGCTTCATGGTTTGACTCATGTTTTTTTACTCATGTTTTACACATGAGGTATTCAGGATACATAGAAATAACATCTTTAAATACAGAGGAATAGGGAACCCAGGCACACTGGCCTTTGAATCTGTAGCCTGTTATTCCACCAAAACATACATTCCTCTGACATCCTATATAGAAACTAGAAACCCCAGTCACCATCTTGGTTCCTCCTTCCATTCACTCATCCCAAATCCTAAAGCAGCCTGCTGACCTGGCTCACCCTTACACTATCCCTCATCCAGGACTCCAGCCCTGCGTCAAGTCCTCCTCATCTCACACTGAGATGACTGCAGCAGCCATGCTCCACCCTCTACCCTCCCTCCCCACTGCCACCAGAGAATCGCCTCATCTCCACTTCATATCCATCCTAAAGCTCACAGTCTTGTAGCCACTCACACGATTCAAGGAATGACTGTTGAATTATTTGGAAGAGGATGTAGGAGACTGAGGCTTCCATACACTCCCTTTTCTGGTACAATGCAACCCGCCTGCACTTCAGGACTCCTGTACACATCATCCATGCTACATTTGTCTTGAGTGTTCTTCAGGATAGGCCCACTGTCTTATCACACTCTCCTTCCCTCTGTTTGACAAGCCTCGCACCACAGAGACTAAACTGTCACTTTTTCTTCACTTTATCTTCTTTCTCTGCACTTTCTTGGAACATTGCACATATCCACAAAGCACCATTAGGCACAATGCATTCTGGCTAGCGTAATTTCATGTGTAACTATTACTTTTCTCGGCAAACTATGAATTTCAGGTGCTGGAGACTTCTCATGTCTGTCTCCTCAGCATCTGGTAGGATCTATGTAGCACATGGTAAGTTGTCAATAAGTAATACTTCTATAGTCAGAATGAGATCATTGGCCTATGAAATAGCTTGGTAGCTAGACTGGGGGTGCCAAATCCAAGGACCTGAGTTCAATCCCTGGGGACCATGTGACAGAAGGAGAATTACTCCAGCAAATTGTCCTCTGATCTTCATATGTGCGTTTGACACAAGTATGGCCACATACATACATATGTACATATGAACCCACACACACAAAGTATAAAAAATAAAATGAAATTGCAGTCATAAGCAAGGTGTGTTTTAAACCTGAACTGAAGGGTGGATCTGATATTCTAGGCTATACATAATGAGCCTGACTTGGGATATTTTTGTTCTGTAAATTGGAGAAAAGTGTATCCTCTATGAACTAGTAAAGAGCCATGAAGACTTACTGCTATTCCCATAATTGAGTGCACCTAAAATCACTATATATTTCCAACTGCCATATAGCATACCAGATATAATTCCCTTAATTGCCTAAACTACTTTTTCCAACAGCAATCGAGGAACTGCAATTGATTTTAGTGTGCTGGGACCAGAGTGACCTGGAGCAAGTGAGATTACGGAAGATTATGTTATCAGGGTAGATACAACAGTCACCCTATCCATTCATCACCCTATCCATTCACCAACTCCAAATGACAGGAATCAGAGGGACCTGGAAACACACAGACAACCCGTACCTCCTTCACAGTTAGCACACTTGTGAGTATTCCATTCTTTCTCTTCCACATCATTTAAAGAGGCTTCCATAAATCTTGCCGTGGCGGAGAATTCAGAGTAAATATCAACCTCAAGTATGAGAATTCCCTAAGCAGATCAAGAGGACACTCAGGAGTCCCCTGTTCTCAGTCCATGACTCCATAAGGCAGCCCTGTTATACTGGCTACACACCTCTGCCAGTCAGATCAAACATACAGACATGAGTTTTCACTCTTCTCTGCCCTTCATGCTCATATGCTCTTGAATGGTAAGTACAGTAAGTCCCCTCTTCAAGATAATTCAAAACGCTCAACTCTGACAGCGTCTCAGCCCCACTCATTCGTTGCTCTGATCTAATCCCTGACATGGCAATGAGAGAAGGCCCCTCTCCTGTCTGCACTGAAGAGACATCATTTGGCAAGGGCTATGCAGCCAGGTTCTGAAGTCTATCGGCAGAGGTACAGGGATGCCTCTGTTTCAATGGCTCCTCCTGAACAGTGACAATACTTGACAGGATGCCAGGGCTGGGAGACCTGTGAGTCGCCCAGAGCCCTTGCTGAAATGCATTAGACTGCAAGACAGTCCTTCTCTTCTTCACAATTTTCCCCTAACAAGATCCTGGCACATGACTCTCAACTCCTTGGCTTTTCTGGGAAGATTTGAGAAACGAGTCAACTTGCTTCTCAGTCAGGGA